GGATCAAACTGATTGAACCCAGGGTGGTCCGAGGGAGTTGCCCCCATTGTCCTTAATCCCGTATTCCCAGAATTTACCACTCCACCCCAAGTGAATATACCCCGGGCAGTTCTCCAGAGCCTCCCTGCTTAATCCCAGTAAACCTGTCCTTGTTCATCCTCTGAGGAAGTTTTACTGCCTTGGTTCTAGGGGGAAAATCTTGACCTTAGAAACTTAGGGGAATATTGCATTTCTCTGTGGACATCCAGGGCTCATGTTTGGAATTAAATAAATATAACTGAACACTAAGATGAAAAACAATTTGCTATTAACTGTCAAGTGGCTAGATCTGTTACACTTGGGCCTATAGGGCCTCGAACCTCTGCACGGTCTGCAATAGGTGGTGGGAGTTTTAGGGTCTGTGTGCAAGGGGCTTTGAAAGTTCCTATAGGAGAGTCTGATGAAAAACTGGGTCAGGTAATACACAAGACAGGCTGGGATGTGAGATCTTAGGCCTTCCCTATTGGTCCTGTGGTGGGTGTTGTAGGGTACTGGAGGGGTTGGAAGAATGTTTGGATAGTCTATAGGATGTTTTCAGCTTCTGGCATGTCTGCGATGATCTGTTTAGAGGAGACTATTGGAATTTTTTGGGGTTTTGAGAAAGCTAGGGTGACTTTGGTTTCTACCTTTGTTTGTAAAGGGGTTGGAGTGGCTGAAAACCGTGAGGAGGTAAAGACTAAGCAGATCCAGCAAGTATCACTTATTGGGGTAGAGCTTGGTATAGGAGGGAGGCTAAGAGGTCTATTAGATGTTGAATTGGTGATGGGTGAGGGATGGAAGAGGATGAAGAGTAAAGAGAGTAAGAAGAAGGAGATTTGGGTGGTGGAGGGATGAATGTACGACAGAAGGGTATAGGGGTTTGGGATTACTAGAAAAGTAGAACACACAGCGTGATTAATCCAACAGAGGTCTTGGACGAGTCCATATGTCCCCTCGGGTTTTGGTGGTGGGAGAATAGGAGTGTTGTGTGGAGATTGGGTAGGTATGAGGGTGTGGGCCGCAAGAAATTGGGAAACAGTGGGCTGGAGGTCATGGAGACCCTCAGGACTAAGGGGGTATTGAGGGACAGGGATTTGACACACAGGATCCTTTAATGAAATTTTTATAGGGGTGCGGTGCTGGGAATATCAGGGATGTCAGTATTCCCAATTATGGTGACGTTTCAAGGGGACTCACAAGGGATCAGGTGTCTGTGCTAGTAAAAGGTTGGGGTGACTGTCTCTTAGAAATTCAAAGTGTATTATGGCTCCGAATTTGTGTAGGATATCACATCCTAAAAGAGGAACCAGGCATTGGGTATAACTAAAAAAGAATGAGTGACGGGTAAATCTCCAAAGGAACAACTGAAGGGTGGTGTTTGTTTGGGAGCGGCAGGTATGGCTTTCACTCCTATGTCCAGGCTGCCCCACATCAAAAGCACATTCCAGGGACTGTAGCTCTTTCTTGCTCTGGGCTGGGGTGAGTGTGAGGTGGCAGACACTAGTGTCTGATATTTAAGGTGGAGTTTTTACTTTTTGGTTCCTCTGTCCCTCATCTTAGTTGTTAAAAACATTTAAGGCTGCTCTTTAGAAGATTTCACTGTTGGGTTGAGGACCTGCCTCTAACTTTTGTAATTTCCTTCTAATGTCAGGTGCAGACTGGTAAATAAACTGCGAATGAAGGAAAGTTTGGCCTTCTTTTGATTCTGGGTTCATGTTGGTATATTTTATCATGACCTCTGAAAGGTAGGAAAGAAAAGAGAAGGATTTTCATTGGGGCCTTGGGTGACCTCACATAATTTATCATTGACAGTCTTATGGGCATTTTTATCCATTACACCTATAAAATAAGTAATCATGTAATCCCTTTGCTGGATCCTTCTCTTCCAAAGTTGAAAATTCTAATTAGGCTCTCTGCTGAGGGAGGGCATCTGCCACTTCACCACAGGGTGACAGGTGGGGGCCTGCTCAGGGAGGGCATTAGCATGGATTTCTGCTGCTCTCCATATAAATCCCCTTTCCTCTGGTTTCAAGATAATATTTAAAGTAATGTAAATATCATGCCAAGACTGGGTTATCCGTAGGGATTCTTTGTGTTAATTGACTCAGTTTTCAGAAAAGGATCCTAAGCGCCCTTGGATCTGGGAAAGACTGGAATAGAAAAAGGAACATGTACTAGGGCAGCTACTTCCCCTAGGGGAGGATAGTTAGTGCTGTACCAGGATTGGGTGACTGGTAGCAAGGAAGGACAAATTTAGGAAGGGATGATGGGTGGAGGAGGAGGGGGAGGTGCAAGCTGAGGCAACGGGTGTGGGGGGGGATGTTCATTGGCAGGATCAAATGGAGATTCAGGAGGAAATTGTTTCTGAGGTTAATTTGGTGAGCCCAAGGGGGGGCGGTGTGAGCAGAGGAAGAAAAAGGCTTGGACGTGGGGAACTTGCCATTTCTTTGTAAAAGTTGTTAATGTCTCTGAGAATTTGGAAGTCAAAAGTGCTGTTTTCTGGCCACTGACTGTCACTGTCGTTTATAATTGCGGCCGGGTTATATTGCAAAACTCAATAAATTTTTTTCAGATTGATATCTGTTAGATGTAATTTCTTTAGGTTATTCAGAAGACAGCCTAGAGGGGAGGGGGTGGTTTGCGAACCCTCAGCTCCCATTTTGGGTGGGTCAAGGAGTTACTGCCGAAGGCGGTGTTTGCCTTCTCACAGATGAGAAGGGAGATGACCAGAGATCCAACTGTCAGACCTGATGGCCTGGAGAGGGTTATGGGCTTCCCCGCGCCCTCTTCCAAGGGGAGTCCAAGTGATCCTCCGAGGATCAGGGGATGAGGCAGAATCTCCTGGGATCCTCAGGAGAGAGTGCCCAGAGGCTGACTTATCTAGACCCAGGAATTTGTGACCAGTGTTGAATGAGGAGAGATCTGGCAGAATGGCCTCTGAGAACTGGAGCCGCATAAAAGAAAAAATGGACTACTTGGAAGTGAGCGATTGGGGAAAAGGATTTAAGAGTTTTGAGAACCATCAGGGGTGGGTGGCCTGGCCTGGCCTGGCCTTCCTCTTGAAAGGGTCCGTGATCCCTTGTAGTCAGTTGCAGAGGGAAAGGGAGAAAGAGAGAGTGGATAAAAACGGGCTACTCAGATATGAGCAGTAAGAGAAAGCGATCCTAGGTTCAGGAGTTTTGAGAGTTTACTGGGGTGTACCCCACTCAGAAGCTTGCAATCCTCCTGACTGAATCTACAATCTCTCACAGTCCGCTAGAAAAACCAAGGGAGACAGAGAAAAGTGATGGAGAGCTCGGCTCTCAACAATAAGGACTGGTTTGGGAGGGGGTGGAGCTTAGGATGGGCTAGCTGTGGAAGGTATGGCCTTTTGTGAGGTCTTGCCAGAGGGTGGAATTTAAGTGGGGCTAACTGGTGGAAATGGTAAATTTGAAACGTAAGGAAAATAGACATTTAAGAGAGTTATGGCGGTTGATAGAAAAGGCTTAGACATAGAGGACCTCCCACTTTCCATGCCTTTGGAGGAGAGCTCCTTTTCTATTTTTTTGAAATATTGATTCCCATAGTTCTTTGTGTCTTCAGTTAAAGGGAGAGGTAAGAGGGGGGTGGCCGGGGCACACGAAGGCAACCCATAGCCAGCCAGGGAGCTTCGCCTTACTCTCCCATGCCCCACGTTAGGCGCCAAAAGGTAAGAAATAAGTAAGAAAGGAGGAGAGAAACTTGGCCTCGACAGCAGGCAGGTTTATTGAGTAAACCTGGGGGCATTCAAAGTCACTAGAGACCAAGAGCCCTCTGTCCCTTACAGACTGGCGTATTTAAGGCGGTGTGGTTTCGGGTACAGTTCTGGCGAGCTATTTTGGGTCAAGTGCCAGAAGAGTGCCACTTCCCATTAGAAGTCAAATGGGGGCGCCATCTTGTTTATGGAGTTTGGCAGAGGGTGCCATCTTGGTCAAGTGAGTTGAAAGGGAGAATCACTACCTTGTCATGGAGACTAGGAAGGAATGGTACCTTGGGCCTGGGAAGCCAAGAAGGGAAATGCACTATCAGCCTAGTCTTGTGTGGATTTTCCATCTTGGCTTGGAGACACCATCTTGACTGGTTGGAGAATGGGGAGATGACATTTCCGTCTAGATGGGTTATCTTTGGCCTCATGAAGGAGCCCACAAGGGGTTTCCAAAGCCCGGTATAAGTAAGGGAGTACAAACTGGAGGGTGCAGGAGGGTGGTGGTGTGACATGGATTCGGTTCCGACTCATAGTGGCCCTGCATAGGGTTTCTGAGGCTGTAAATCTTTATGGGCGCAGAAAGCCTCATCTTTCTCCTGTGGAAAGACTGGTAGTTTTGAACTGCTGACCTTGAGGTTAGCAGCCTGACTCGTAACTACTACGCTACCAGAGCTCTCTATAAGCAAGATGGGAAAAGCAAAATGACGGTAAGCCAATGCTAAGGGTCCACAGCTGGACCCAAGACGCAAAATTAGGCAGAGTGGGTGGAGCTAAATCTGAGGAGGCAGAGCAAGAACCAGACAGGGCCACGGCTGCAGAGCACAGACAAGACCCAAGTTAGTGGGGAATTATCCCTGGAAGACGAGTTAGGACTGGAGACGTCGATCAAGGAGAGATGGAAAGGACCTGGGAGTGAATGCCAGTTGCCGGAGTCTTGTGGGAAGATAACCAGGACAAGCCCCAGGAAGCAGAAACCAAACAGAAAGGCAGAGCACAAGGCGAATGGGGCACAGTAAGCTCCGGGTGGAAACTGATGGGCTAGTTATTGGGACCAAAGTGAGATCAGACCCTAGAGAAACCAGATCCAAGGGGGTGGAGCTACGCACCAAGTGGGGAGCCAGGACCCTAAAGCCTCATTCTGCTGGGGGCGTGGTTAGCACTAGGGTGACAGCACCATGGGGGAGGGGGGGAAGGTGGAAACACCAGGTAAGAGCCAGGTCCCGCAGGCTTGAGGAGGGCAGGGCCAAGTAGCAGACGGCTAGGCTCGAGGCCCAGGGTCCTGCTTGGGTTCGGTTCCCGGAACACCACGGATGTCAGGCAGCAGGCGGCAGCCAGCCACGATGTCCAGACGCTCGGCCAGCGCGCAGAGGTCCCCCCGTGCCAGGCGTACGTTGTGAGCCGCCGCCAAGCCCGCCGCTTGGGAGGCCGCCAGCCGGGCAGCCAGGGCAGCCACATCACGGCCCGCGCGGCGGTACACACCGCTCACTGCAGCCGCCACGTCGTGATCCAGGCGCTCTTGGCTTTCGGCCAGTCGGAGCTGCAGAAGAGAGCGCGCAGGAGCGGGCGCCGGGTCCTCCACGGCGCCCCAGGCCTCCCCTGCCGGTTCCCGCTGCACCACGAGCGGAGGCAGGTCTTCCGGCGCGGCCGTCGGCTCCGGCTCTGGCTCCGAGTCGGTCTCCGCGGCCTCCCCTGACACGCGCAGCCCCGTAGGACGGCCGCGCGTTGGGCCCGAGGGGCCCAGGTACAGCTCTTCCTCTTCTGACGAGTAAGCTGAGAGCTCCGAATCAGTCTCGGCCGCCTCCCCAGGCACTACCGTCTCGGGCCTCCGTGGTGTCCTCCGTCGGCGGCTCTGAGACGCCATGGCTCTGAGCTATTAAGAGGAGGAAAGGAAGGTCGGCATTAGAAGCCCCCTGTAGCCCTCTTCCCGCAGCTACGTCACCTCAGTACTAACTCCACACCCTGGATGTTCATTCCTAGGTATATAGCTCCGCCCGGCCGATTGGATCTGGCTCCTCCCCTTGGTAATTTAACTGATTTAGCTCCTCTAGCTATGAGTCAGAACCGACTTCATGGCGCACAACCACCACCACCACTGATTCTAAGTGTTTGAGTGCCAACTTTCCCCCCAATTTGGGCCTCAGTTTCCTCTTCTATGAACTAGGGCTCATCACCCCAGCCGGTGATGATGATGCTACTGCACCCCAGCCTCTTCAGTATGCCGACTGGAAATCCAGGACTTGAGGACCAGCTCAATCAAGATCCTGGAGCCCAAATTCCCAGAGTTCCAAACAGCTTTTTTCGAATTTGCCGATCACAGGCCACCTCTTTCTCCAAACCTGTCTCAGATTAGGAAGCAGATGGGCCTCTGAGCTTCTCAGAGACCATGCTAGGGTCACGGACAGGGTGACAGTCCGCCTGGATTCTGGGGAGGGTGCACTGTTGGGGTGTCATCATCAAAGACCGTACCGGGTCACCGGAGCTCCGTGCTTAGTCGACAAGCAGTCTACATGGGGACAGCTAGCGGGCGGAAGTCCCATCCAATAGAGGAACTGGTTGGACAGTCGTAGGTGACCACGCGGGGAGCTCCACTACCAGTCGGGAAGCAAGTTTTCAGGACTCGCGTGTGTGCAAGGAGAGTCACGTGAATGGAGGCAAGACCAACAGGAAAGAAATTGGATAGACGCTTCCGGGTTGTGCTGCAAGGGAGAATTCCGTGGCCAAAGTAAGGCTTAAAAACACTAGCTGTGTTACGCGTCGCAGTTGACTCGGCCTATAGAAACGCTCAAACACCCGGAAACAGACAGGAAGGAAGGTCCCGTCGCAAGCCGTCACGTGCACCCATGTGTGGCCAATGAAAGAACGGTTTCCCTCTCCTTTCTTTACGTGAGAGGCAGGACTACTCTAAAGACCAATGGAAATGGGAGTAGGCGGGCACGCGCTGAGATGCGGAAGGCTGAGCCTATCCAGCCAGGCCAATGAGAGAAGGGAGCGTTTGGTTGCTGTGGGGCGCGTGAGGCGGGAGCATGGCGGATGCGGTGCTGTTTGAGTTTCTGCACACGGAGATGGTGGCGGAGCTGTGGGCGCGCGCTTCCGATCCAAGCCCCGGGGTGAGCGCGGGGCCCCGGGAGGAGTAGGGACAGATTGCGGCGGTAAGGCAGGATCAAAGCTCCGGGGGATGGGGAGAGCTTGTCAGCCGCATGGGTTCGAACCCAGCCCCCACCTCTGCATCGGTGAGCGACCTCGGGCGGTTGCTATGTAAAGTGGAAATAACAGTGTCGGTCCCGCGAATGATTTTCATAACTAAGCGAGATAACCCAGTTAAAGCACTTAGCTCAAGACCTGACAAGAATAAGCGGTTAGTAATTAGGATAATTACTGTTATTACTGGGTATTTACTGAGAGCTTAGTGCTTGGGCTGAATCCGTCTCTGCCACTGACTAGGTGTGCGACCCGACCCAGTGACTCTGCCTCGGTTTCCTCTTTGGTAAAAAGGGCATATCGAAATGGAGCACTTACTCACTCAACAAACATTTATTGATTGCCTATTGTCTTTTAAGGAGCTCTGGTAGCGTAGTGGTTACGAATCGGGCTGCGAACCTTAAGGTCAGCGGTTCGAAACTACCAGCTGCTCCGCGGGAGAAAGATCAGGCTTTCTACTCCCGTAAAGATTTACACCCTCGGAAACCCTGTACAGGGTCGCTATGGGTCGAAACCGACTCGATGGCACTTAACAACAACAACATTGTCTTTTAGGCACTTTGGTTCTAAAACAAAGATCCCTGCCCTCCAAGAAGTCTACAACTTAGTAGGGAAGTGAAACAATAAAAATGTAATATACTCTCAACTGGGAGTGTGGTGGCTCCATGTGATAAGCACTGGACTGCGAACCACAAGGTCCTCAGTTCAAGGCCTCCAGCTGCCGTGCTAGAGAAAGATGAGGCTTTCTGCACCCGCGAAGATTGAAAATCACGGAAACGCTATACGGGGTCAACTATGAGTTGGAACCGACTCAACAGCACTTAACAACAACAACCCTCAACTAGTGACGAAGTCCTGGTAGCGCAGTAGGTTAAGAATTGAGCTGCTAACCGCCAGGTTGTCAGTTCAAATCTGCCAGGCTTTCTGCACCAGAGAAGATTTAAAGCCCCGGAAACCCTATAGGGGGTCACTATGAGTTGGGACTGACCCGACAGCACTTTACAACAACTTTCAACTAGTGATGGAGCCCTGGTGGCACAGTGAGTTAAGAGTTGAGCTGCTAACTAGAAGGTTGTCAGTTCAAACCCACCAGCTGCACTATGGTAGAACAGGGAGGTAGAAAGATTTACAAATCTAGGAAACTCTATGGAGTAGTTCTGCCCTTATAAGTCGGAATCAACTCAATGGCAGTGGGTGGTTGGGATCACCTAGTGAGAAGCCCTATTAAAAAAAAAAACCATGAGAGTCAGCGAAGGAAGAGGGATAGAGTGGTGGATATTGAGGAAAAGGAAGGAAATAACTTGTATGTAACTGGTGGAAGAGAACAGCCCAGTAACAGTAGACAGCAGGTGCAGTAGGAGCACATTTCGCGCTAAACTACTAATGTAGAGGTGATCGGGGTCAAACCCACCAAGCAGTGTTGTGAAGCGTAGTGGTTACGAATTGGGCTGCAAACCTTAAGGTCAGCAATTCGAAACTACCAGCTGCCCCGCGGAAGAAAGATGAGGCTTTCTGCTCTCATGAAGATTTACAGCCTCGGAAACCCTGGACAGGGTCACTATGAATCAAAACTGACTCCACGGCACACACATAACCACCACCACTAAGGCTAACCCTGGGCAGTAGTTCCACTCTGTAACACAGGGGGCAGCCGTGAGTCAGCAGCTACCTGACAGCAACAGGTTTGGTGGGACTGCATTTTAAAAGCCGTTCCTTGTGAAGATGAAATGAATGAAAACTCCGAAGCACATACAAAGACCTCAGAACGTGGGCACTTTTGTTATAAAATATGCCAAGTCCAAAAGGGTTGGGAGTGTCACAGAGTCAGTGCTTCATGAATGGGTGCTGAGGTACTTTTTTCATTATCTTCTTCATCATTAGCTATATGCAAGATTGTCTTCCCAGGTGATGGGATCCTCAGTCATGGTGCCTCTTTGTTTTCATCTTGGTTGTATTGAGTTTTTTTAATGTTTTATTTTAATTATGTGGTAGTTTACACAGGAGAACATTAGCTTTACATTCATCCTGTCGTATATCGTTTCATTGCCATGGTTACAATCCCCACCATGCATCATCAACCAACCAAAGGGTATACACCGCAAGCCTGCCCCCCCCCCCCCCATCGTCAGCACACAGCCCCTCTCCCTTTCTGGGTTTCGAGTTCCCAGCCATTCCATTGCTTCACGTCATTGTCTCTGCCTCTGTCTCTGGCATTGTTGTTTCTCTGGGTAGGGTCCCACATTCTGCTCTTCTCCCTTGATGGTCCCAGGGACCTCCGCTCCTGGACTGCAAAGTCAATCACTCCCCACCTTTTGCTACAAAACGTCTACCTTTACATGTGCAACTCTCACAGTCAACCCTGATAAAAATTATTCACTATTGTACCACAAGAGACCTATCCCCATCTCCTTTCATCAGCCCTGCCCAGACAGATTGGATACTACTCCATGGAGAGTCTACCTTCCTCTGCGCCCTCTGGATCTAGGCTCCCTCTTGAAAGCTTATAAGCCAGTCACTTCTTGCCTTTGTAGTCCCCCATTTTGGGTATCGTCTTTTATTATTATTATTATTCATTCAACAAACTTTTACTGAAACTGCTGTAGGTTCTGGGGATGTCTTGGTGAACCACACACAAATCCATGCCTTACTGGAGTTTATATGTTTTGTGGGGGAAGACAAATACGATGAACGAATAAAGTAAAGGGTGTTGTTGAGGTTCCAATGCATAGCGACCCTGTAGAGGGTTTCTAAGGCTGTAAATCTTTATGGGAGCAGAATGCCTCATCTTTCTCCCACGGAGCGGCTGGTGGGTTTGAACCTACCAATACATAACCCACTACATCACGACCGTTCAAAGTACAGATAGTCCTGGGCTTACAAGGGGTTTTGTTTCGACCACTACTCTGTCGTAAGTCAGTCTACACTTACGATAGAACACAGAAAAAAGTCTAATCTTCTTTTTTTTACTTTTTTTCATCATTGCCTTTTGTCATCAATATCTGATCTCTATTTGTCTTTTGAAAACATGACATCTGAGAATGATAAAACCAGAAATCCAAACCCACTGCCGTCAAGTTGATTCCGACTCATATCAACCCTGTCTAGGGTTTCTGAGACTGTAAATTCTCCCATGGGGTAGCTGGTAGGTTTGAACCACCCAGCCTTGAGGTTAGCAACCCAACGCTGCGCCACCGGGGCTCCTTGTGTGTTAGAGACCAATTCCAATTCATAGAGACTGCCTGCCTACACAAGTTTTCCGAGGCTGTGAAGCTTTATGGGAGCAGAAAGCCCTCGGAGCGCCTGGTGGATTTGAACTGTGTATAGGAGTTATTTGTTGTTATGTACCACTGCATCAATTCCAGCTCATGGCAACCCTGTGTAGGGTTTCCAAGGTGGTAAATTTTTGCAGACAGCCTCATCTTTCTCCTCAGGGTGGCTGGTGGGCTCAAACTGCCGACCTTGTGGTTCCCACTCTAGGGTTTATCCTACAGAGCCACCGTGCTCCACATGTTGGAGAGGGAGTTTGCAATTTCGTGGTGCTCAACACCCCATCCACCCTGGCTTCAAAGTAGAAACCAGAATTCCCCTGACATCTGCTTCCTCTCGCTCACTTCCAGCCTCTTCAGCTGTTTAGATGTGGTTCCCATTTGTCCCCTCCCCTGCCCTAGTCCCAGCTTTCTCATCTGTACCAACCTCCTCCCACACATATTTCATTACCACATTAACCCTGCATCTGCCCCTTCAACAGGGAAGCCTTCCTTGAGTTTCCAGTCATGTTCAGGGTCTCCTTTTAGATTTGCATAGTCCCCCTTCTTCCCCACTTTTTCCTTGTAACTAACTCTCATCATACTCAGTAAATACTAGGGGGCTTCCAAAAGTTTGTGGAAACATGGAACTGAAAAATTTTTCCACGAGGTTTTTGATGTGCCCTTGTGTATGTTGTTGTTGTTAAGTGCCGTCAAGTCAATTCCAACCCACAGTGATCCTGTATAGGGTTTTCAAGGAGCGACTGGTGAGCTTGAAACACCCACCACCCACCACCCCCCCGCGATTCAAATGGCTTTGCAGTCTGGTGCATTAACTCACAGCGCCACCCGAGGACTCGGCCCATGTATATATGTATATATGAACTCTCTATCACCTTGAGGGGCCTAGGGTGACGTAGACGGCTTATGCTCAGCGCCTAATGTGTGCTGCTGAATGATTGGTGGTAGAAAGATCTGGAGATCTTCCATGAAGATTACAATCTAGAAAACCCAATGGTCTGTCCCATGTGGGGTTGCCATGGACTTGAATCAACTCCATGGCACCTAACACTACCACCACAGACCTAAAGGTTGGTGGTTCGAAAGCAACCATTGGCACCAGGAAGAAAGGGCTGGCGATCTGCTTCTGTAAAGATGACTGCTAAGAAAACCCCATGGAGCTCAGTTCTACTCTGTTACACGTGGGGCCTCCATGAGTTGGCGTCAACTCAACAGTCACGATTGATCACACGAGGATTCATCTCCGCTTTCCCAGCCGGACTCTGGGACTATGAGCTCCGTGTGGCCTGGGACCAGGTCTTGGTGGACCACCCCTGTGTCCCTGGCATATCGTGGGCCCTCGTGGAGGGGGGCTGGAGAAGCCGTGCAGACGCGATGCTGTGGAGGGCGTGGCTGGGGGGGCGGGTGTACATTTAATAAGGTGAGCAACAACAGCCCCTCAGTGCTGGGCGTGTGCCGCCGCGCCTCCTGTTTCCTTTGATCCTCCTCACAACCCAGAGAGGCGAAGCACAAGCTTCCAGCTCTTTTCCCAAGTGGCGGGGGCGGCCCGTTTAACTCAGCCTCCCCCTCGGAAAGCGTATGTGTTGTCAACATCCCGCCGGCTCTTCCCACCTCCTGCTTCCCCTGACATGTGCCACAAGGAC